CTGAAGACAACATGGAAATGTGATTCTATGTTTGGGCAGAGTTCCTTTTACATCAGCAGTTATTCCCCCCAGACCCCGGGGATAGCAGCGAATGCTGGTCAGGACTTGATTTTCTTTTTTTTTGTTTAATTGGATCACATGGGTGATTTGCCATGTATTGTAAGGGGCATGCTGCAATGTAATTATGTATTGTGCCAGGTTGCTTGTTCGGACTGCAGCTCTGGAAATTGGATTGCTGTGATGAGGCACATAAGGTTACCGGTTTTAGAGACTTGGCAAATCCACATATTCATACACACTTACCAGGTTTGGCTGTTTACAATCCCAAGTTGTTTTCCCACAACTTTGGGGCTGCATAATTACCTTTTTAAATAAACACTGTTTTGACATGAATTCATTTTAATTGAGTTGAATTAAACTTAAATTGCTAAATTGCTGTGTAAGCCGACCAGTTCAATGCGAAGTCCGTCTTATGTAAAGTTTTAAATCAAGTAAAATGAAAGCGGCAGTGGCAGTAATGTGTGAGAGGGGAAAACACCACCGCCTCCTCACTTATGCTAATACTTGTTAAAATTGTGAGTAAAGGCTACAAGGATTCAAGGTTAATGAGGTTCAAGGTTAGGCTATGGAGCAGATGAGCTGCACAGGAAGTAAGAGTCTGTGCACAGCAGAAAAAAAGTGAAGACTTAAGCAGCCACATAAGCTAAGTAGAGTCCAGAGATCACATGTTGTTTGTCTCGGGTGGTTTTAATCATCCTGCCGACCAAGGGCTGTTCTGGACGCTCTGAGGAGTCATAGATCTGCACTCTTACACACTTGTCTATGAGTCACTTTACGCACAGACGGTGAAAACTCATAGACTGTAGAAACTCAGAATGTCAGGTATAGAAGTCTGATATTTTTGTTCTGCAAACATTTCCTTCAAGTGTCAGTAATCTGTTTTTCCATTTCATCTAAACTTTCAATAGATCATTTGTTAGTTAAACACAGTGGGAGATATTATGATCTAAACATTACTTCCTGTACAATGGAGCATTTATCCTAAGAGGGATGTAATTAATCAATATATTTGATTAACTAACAATGATTTAAAAAAAAAATGGATTATGTAATAACAAAGTTCAATTCCATTTTACTTTCATTTGACAGAATAAACCTGGTCAGCAGTTAAACACTCAGTCATCTCACCGAGGACTGTGCTGCCTGTTTTATATTCCACATTAATCAAAGTAGACTGATGTGTTTTCAAGTCATTTTCCAATCGACATGATGACTTTTCTTGGAACTTTTTAAGAGTTGAAACTGTAAATTCAGCAAACTTTTCATACTGTCTTTGCTTATAATAACTTATCATTTTAATTTATCAAAGTCAAATCAAATGTCTCTTGGTTTTGTGAAAGCTTTGTTAGCACTGCCAGTACCACTGAAAATCAACACTTCAACACACTTTTTGCAGCTTTCGTGTGCTGTTAGTCACTGTCACATTCTTCAGACTGACAAAACCAAAACAGTGTCATCAAATATGAAACTGTAATATAAAACTGTAAGCACCGGCTTCCCAGCACAGGAGGTCACATGAGCCAACTGTACATCCAGAGCAAAATCTAGGTCTAGAGTTGAGAGTAGAAAGATGGAGAGCAGACAAAGCAAAGAGAGCGAAATATTTTTCTCATGAAACCAGGTGAAATCGGCCTAAAACACGAGTGAATATTAGACATAAATGTAACAGGTGGACAAAAAGGACTCCCAGCAGATGCCTGTGTTGATCCGTTTTCAGTAAGTAAATGGGAAGGTTTTTGCAAATTCAATGGCCATTAAAAACCCAAAAACTCATCACCATCACTCACTATCAATATATATGGTGTGAAATTAGCATATTAGCTAAGAGTTTGTTTGAGAGTCTTTTGCCTCCTAGTGGTCAAAAATGATTTCCTGCAGCTTTAAAGGAAACAGGCACCTTAAGGCCAATTCATGGTTTCTGCATCCAAGTTTGGAAGTGTCCATGTGGGTTTCACGTGACGTGAATTTCATCATCTGCCCGTGAAGTCCGTGAAGGTCCGCGTGGACCCTGTGTGGACATCTATAGCCAGCTCAAAACTTGAGTCCGTGTGGACTTTCCGCAGTGCAAGTACACCGACCCTCTTAATCTCTTGGCAGATAGTTCTTATCCTCACATGGGGATAAAGGTTGATAGTATCAAATGCGCTTGACTCTGTCGGGTTGGTTAGATAGACCTGTTGGTGTACGCTGCTTTCTGTCTTGTGCTTTGGTTTTCCTTCCTTATACTATTTTCATTACAATCAGATACAGTACATTTGTTTTGTAAAACTCCTTGAAACATGTTTTTAAGATGAAACTGTCCTGACTTGATGTCTGCGGAAGTCTGAACATCACATCTAACAAGAAAAAAATCCAAATCATAAATATGAGCTCATTGTGATTTGCAATTTTTAATAGTTCATGCATGTAAGAACTGATATTTCCTTTGCAGACGAGCTACCATGTAACCCCCGACTCCTAATTTAAGATTGTTTGCTGGATTACAGGCGCACAGTCACCACCCACTGGCCAGACAGGGCCTGATGAGCAATGTCTGAGACGATCAGTCGTGTCATGACTGTACAGTGCCAGACTCCACCTGCTCTAAATGTAGATAGCTATTGTTTGGCTGAGCAGAGAACAGACATCCCTCTTGGTTGTGTCTGCCTTTTCTATAGTAAGTCTTGTCAGAGAGCCTCATTGTGGTGATGTACACGACATTTTTTTGGACTCACTGAGGTCTGTCATTACAGTAGTGCTCCTGCTTTAAAAACAAGGGCTGAAGGGGGAAGTGAAAACCCATCTCTGGAGAAATGAAAGAATTACTGTGACATTAAAAAGCCACGTAACACTGAATCATTAAGGTCAGCAACTGCGGAAATGTTACACATCCTTGGACTTTTTATGGTTAATGGCGGTATCACATTAAGGCTCAGGTTGACAGCTCAATAAGTTATTACAGTGCTTGAGATCACTCTGAAGAAAGTGTCCTTTCAAAAGCCTCCCTCAGCTATTATTTCTCCTCTCAGCATTGAAGGTTACAGGAATATTTTGTTACATCTATTGTCAGCCCACTGTAGCTCTAAAACTCTCTCTCCTCATTGCTGGTTGCTTGTAAGTTTGTTGTTTTAGGAATTTAAACTAGCACCTCTTATTCTAATGTGAATTACACATCTTCGATGTAAATCATTCATTGTTGTTGTCATTGAGCTTGTTTTACGAGCTGCGTTACAATTAGCTAACGGCTGAATGAGGAGCCAGCTGTCTGGCTGCTGTACATAAGCGCTGCACTGTGTGTGTTATTACATTTACCATCTACTGTCTGCAAAGCATGCCTGCCATGTCTCCGTCACTATTTAGGGAATCCATGTGCGACGGCAGCAGAAAGTTCTCTGAAGACGTAACATGCATAGCTGTGTGTTTTTGTATTTGCATAGTGTACAGTAAGTGTTGGCATGCGGTGTACTACTGAGAGCATGAGAGCAATTAGATGAAATAAAAGTCAAATGGGTGACCGAGTTGGGTCAAGTTCCCACTGGGAGGCGGGAGGCAAAACCCACAAATCCCTAGAGGGAACAACCCAGACACTAATTAAAAACTTGCTTTTATGCCTGTGTTTGTGAACGCGAACATATATGTACCTATAGGAGGTCAACAGATGTGTGGGTGTGTGTCAGTATATTCATGTGCTTCCTATTGACGTGTTTTAATATGTCCTGGATTATGTTTTCCAATTTGGAGAACTTCATAAAGTGCTCTCAGGAAGTCTTTGAGAAGTCTATTTGAAATTCAGTAGCTACAGTTCAACTGTTTTGTATTCAGTCCAGTGATGGACGTAGTATTCAGATCCTTTACTTAAGCAAAAGTAGCAATATGACAATGCAAAGTACTTAGGGAAAAGTCCTTTATCACAGAAGTATTAGCAGCAAAACGTACTACTAGTAGTCAAAGTGCTCATTATGCAGCAGAATGGTTCCTGACAGTGTTATATTACATCACTGGATTATTGTTACTGTCGCCTTAACACATAAACAGCATTTTTACATTGTGGCTGGTCAAGGGCAAGCTAATTTTAACTTCTGTACTAAATCATATTTTGCAAAGTCACCAAAGGTTTTAAATCTAAAATCTCCATCTGCAAAGGAACTACAGCTGTCAGATAAATGCAGGGAAGTAAAAACGATTACATTTCCTTCTGAAATGTGGTGAAGTAAAAAGTTGAACAGCTGAGATCTGGTGTTCTTCCTCAGAATGAGTGAACTGGGTGATTTGGGGGAAGTGGAAAATTAGTCCTGTTTTCTTTTGTACTGTAAATTGTCAATTTTCCATGAAATCATTCTGAAATATTCTGGTGTGTAGATGATCAAAATTTGGAATGTGAGATTAATTACCATTTATTCAGATTTCTCAATGACACTGAAAATATTCTTAAATTCTTTTTGTAGTAATATTTTGAAGAAAAAAATTCCCATTGTGATGTCATCAAAATGCAGTTTTGTCAACTATCAACTAACTGCCCAAAGATATGTAGTTAACTAGATGGAACCAGGCAATGTTTTTTATTTGTTATTAAAATAGTTTTGCTTCAGTTACAGCTTTGGCTTAAGGGGGCTGGGCACAGCTGTTTGCATGAAGTTAATTAACTAAAGTACAAGTATCTTTTTTTTTTTTTTTTAAACTTAAGTACTGAATTGAAGTAAATATACTTTGTTACATTCCACCGCTGATTCCGTTTCATTTAATCACATTTCTTTAAATAGACAATACTCGCGCTGGCTTTTTTCAGTAAAACAATAAACCTTGTGTCATTAATTGCCATGCTGTGTGTGTGTGTGTGTGTGTGTGTGTGTGTGTAAGAGATTGGGAGGGTGTGCTGTTAAAATAATGCCCCGGCTGTCCTGATATCCCACAATTCTACTCTCAGCTGCATAGTGGAGTTTGATAGGCTGGTGGAGAGGGGAACTGCAGCAGAGTAGCACCGCTGTCAGGAAACAGAAGCCCACTACGAATGCAACTCGCATAACCAGCTGAACGAGGACGGTTGACCTGGTAATAAACCTCTCTTTTTGCTGCTTTTATCTGCTTTTTGAACTCTCAGGCTTTCTCAGATGAGATGCTCGCTTCCCGGTTTGTACTATTCCCCGTTTTATTTCCTCTCTTATGCCATATACGCCTCCTCATACCTCAACACCCGCGGCCGATGACAGATAATTAACATTAAAAAATACACTATTGCTGTAGCCACTCAGGCGGAAAGTCGGGTGGACGTGGCTAACCGTGGTCAACCTTTTGAATCCCGCTATGGTTTTGTATTGAAGCCTTTCGGTGCGCAACACTGTAGCGATATGTTGGGGGGTTTTGCTGAATGGGCTTCCTGCAGCGGTCCTTATTTTGCAGCTAAAAGTCAAAGCTTGGTCAAAATATTTCAAAGAAACTAACTGCTCAAGGTACAGTAAGCTAACGTGCTCTAGTTTCGAGGCAGAAAGTGGAAAATGGGTGAAACGACACGACAGAGATGCTTTTCCAGCCTTTAATCCAGCTGTTTCTACATCAGTGAAGGGCAGCGCTGAGTCACTGGCACACACGGTAACGTTTGAGGACAATTCGTGGATTAAAATCGTTATATTGTCGGGTCTCAAGGCGATATACTTTGGTGTTTTTGATCTGCAGTGCGGTAGGCGTGGTTAAGGGGCTGGATGACACGGGTCTGGATCTCCTTTTAGCATCATCACATCCTCGTAGGAACGGCATGCAATGGCTGGAGTCTGACTTGACAATTTAATTAAGATGCACAGTAAGCTGTTGTTGCAGTAGCATTGGGAGGAAGCAACGTCGTGGGCCTTGCTTGCAGGGCTTCATATTTTATTGGTTGGGAGTGCACCTTTGAGTCAACTTGCCTTCAGTAGAGATAGTGGTCTTTCCATCCCATTACAAAGAAAGAAACTGCTGACATCTTTAGTATTATCTATTAGCAACACCTAATATCTGAAGAAATACGGTAGTTTTACAAGATCTATTCTTATGGCCCAAAATCTTAACTTACAATATGACATATTCTATCCTAAAGACCCCTCATATGCATGAGGAAACGCCCCAAATATGATTATTTCACCGTAAATTTTGTTGAACACTGTAGAGACACAATGGGGTCATAGAAAGGTAAATATAGAAGCAACAGCCTCTTTTATCTGCAAAAGGTCAGCAAGGGTGATGCATGTTTTTTAGCTAAAAATGCCATGAAACAAAACAATATATCATCCACTCAAACTGTGACTGCTCTTCGTAGAGTAACATAGGCTTCAATACAAAAAAATATTATTTTTTAATCATTCTCCAGCTCTTCAAATGTGAGGATTTGCTGCTTTTCAACTTTTTATAAAAATGTAAACTGAATGTTTTCGTCAGACAAGACAAGCACCTTGATGACATCACCTCGGGCTTAAGGATATGCATAACATGTATTTTTGAGTGTTTCAAACTTGTTATAGGCCAAACTATTAACTGAGAAGATAATCATCAGATTAATCAACAATTAAAATAATCATAGCCCTGATTTGAATAAGGAAATTCAAAGGGAATCAAGGAACTCACAAAGACACAATTGGGTTGTATAAAGGCAAATAGCAACTGCTTTTTTTCATTGTTTTTGATTAGATTTGATTCTAAATAGTAGACTAACCCTATATTTTCATAATACAATATGACATTCTGTAAAATATAACTGCTCTTTGTAGGGCTGAATAGGCCCCAACAGAACAGAACCATAATCTTTTATAGTGTAATATATTTTAATTGCTATCAAAAACAATCTTCAAAAGTGAAGTGCAGTGAAGAAAACAGCCAAAAGGTTCATTTTAAAGCTGCAAATTCTGGAAATCAATCTCAAAAGCAAACCACGCCGCTCCTCCCATCCCTCCCTCTCCTCCCGCTCCCTGCTCCACCCAGCCCTTCACCTACATCCTCGCTGTGTTCGCTGTCTCAGCCAGTGGAGGTAATTGGGAGGTTGTTAGCTTATGAGTCAGACATAGTGACCCCTTCCAGCAGCTGATACTAGGTGGAAGCCTCGGTGCGAGAGAAGTAATACACCAGAAGCCTGTGAGCACCCAGCCCTGACTTTAGCCTTCTCTGATTGGTTACAGGGGCGAGGTTCGCTCAAAAACTTTAAGGGAATACCTCTGCACTGTTGCCAGGCTGTTCAGTGAGTCTTGGTGACAGAAGTCATTGCCATCACCTCTCCACATTAAGATATGTTTTGGAGCTTCAAGTAAGAAATATAAATTGCTTCGACCCTTATTTATGCTTGCCGGCAGACATCATTGGTAATCAAGTTACAGTTGATTTACTGATTACCTGTAGCTAATCTCATAAAATGCTTAATCCCTACTGGCCAGTCACAGTTGCTGTATTAGACATTATTAGCTTCTCATCAAGCTACTAAGATTTAGTTCTAATCTTTTCCATTAATAGGGGATTTTCCCTTTGTTAAAGGAGCAGTACAGCTGGATTGAGTGCTAACTCCACATAAACATGTAATTCAGGAATTGCTTTTCCTTTCCAGCCACACTGGTGATTGTTTGTTGCAAGGAAAGCCACCCTGGCCCTAAGCGACAGCGCGGCGACAAAGACGCACTGGTCGTGTCGCATAATGAAGTGCAGTCAAGTTGAGGTGACAGTAAGTTAGCTGGCCTGTGTGTTGTATCCCTGAGTGTCTCACTGCAAGAGACAGTAACGCTAAGAATGTAAACGCAGCAAGCTGACAGGATTTATGGCCTCCTCAGCAAAAATGCTCTCTGCTCGGAGTCACCTTCATGTGACCAGTCCTTCCCCTAATTCTGCTGTTGCGTTGTGAAGTGTCTAGTCCACTTTTGGTCCATAAGGGGTCTAAATGATTTTTGAAAATCCATATTAGTACTGAATGAAAAGCCTCTGAAATGGCTGCTAAATTAAACAAAAATTAAATATGCAGAGACATTTTAGTTTCAGCTGTTATTAGACTGTTTTTAAGAACCTCCATTGTTTTAGCAGTGGATAATATGAATGACTTACAACAAATACAATATGTTAATACAACAGGTTGCCAGTTTATTAGGTAAACTGAGCTAAAACTGATACAGTCTACTACAACCTACCTTCATTAGGGTTGTAAATAATGTTCAGTTTGTGTGTGATCATTTTGGAGGAAGTAGTTTGTGATGCTGTTGGACTGTGTTGCTTGATACAGAGAGATATTTCTGTTATTTAGCCCATCGTATCCCATGATGTAAACAGGGTGGGGAAAATGACAGAAACACATGTCGGTAAAATGACTTTGCAGTTCAACAACACCATAAACTACATTCTCCAAAATGATCAGTTGAATCAACACCTCTCAAAAACATTATAACTTTCATGAAAGTAAGAGGACTGTAGTACTACACTGCAGTAGTTTTAGCTAGGCTCCTAATAAATTTACTCATAAATCATCCGTCTTGAGATGTTGTGCTGAGTCACCGATGTTACAGTCCATGTTTAGTTTGTGCGCTACCAGAGCTGGAGAATGTCCTGGCTGAACACAGAGTTAGAAAACAGACCTGGGTTGTTTGAATTCTTGAATTGTTAAGGGTTGGACTAACTGTCCTAAGCTGTGAAATGTAACATGTTATTGAGAAACATTTTGTAGATGCCTCATGTCAAAATTAAATGTCAGACATTTTGTTACTGTTTCTCTCTGAAGAAGCCAGAGTCTCACTAGAGACAGGTAAACAACTGGTGTAACGAGCAACACGAGGGTGTTGCTCGTTACACCAGTTTAGGTGGACTGACAATCAGGTAAACACACACCAGTGTCAAGTAATCCATTCTGCTGCCGAGTACAGCCAGGCGTTTGGCTCTGTCCATTCCAGTCTTTCTTGTTTTTTGTTTCTTGTCATAACTGTTGCTGTTAAATGGACTTATTAACTAATCCCTTAAGATCTGTAAAATTTAGCCTTTTGTTCAAAAAAGTATCATCAAATCTTACTTTTCAAAAGTAATACTAGGCTCTGTTATTGTGACAGTACAACTTCTACCCAGTGGTTGCCACTAATGGTGGCACTCTATGCATGCAGAGCTGAATATAATGTTGCGTCTATTATAAGTTACTGCAGTTGAAGGTATTCAATGAGCGCCTCAAATTTACTGTAAATGTGAAGCTGCGATTTAAAAAAAAAAAATTAAGAACATTGTTTTCTAAAGAAATGACGTCACATTCATGACAAAATGTATCAATAATTTTGTTTGTTGAAGGCAGGACAGTTAAAAACACTTTTGGGATCTGTAAGCCCTCAGCAGAGGTGTCTCAGTTGAGTGGCCGGACCAGCTACATGATATCCTGTTACAGTAGCTGGGTTTCTGTGTGACAGCTGTCAGCCCTGCGGCCATGTAGAGGGGTCGCATCATATGCGGCAGGCCGGCCCGGGATGGGCCTGGACGTGTCAAAAAACGCCAACCATTCCCCTCCGTGTAACCTCCATCAGCCCCCAGGGGGGTAATGGGTGTGGGGGCAGGGGTGGCGAGGATGGGCCCAGCTGTGGTGTACTCTGGCTAATAGCACTCAGCACAGATGGCAGGCCCTCATCCTCCTGTGTGTGTGTGTGTGTGTGTGTGTGTGTGTGTCTCAATGTGCACAGGCCACTTTCCAACAGCATGCATTACAATCACAAATGGACCTTAAAATGGAGATTTGCATCCATGGGGCAGCACCACAGCATTTAGTGTCAGTGATCAATTATGTAATGTAGCTACATACTGATAAGCCTCTGAGCTTTTAGCATTAACGTGAACATCCACTGGAATGGGTTTTCTCTGCATTATGTCTGAATGTGATTGTCCCCTGATTGAATTAGTAGGTTTGTTTCTGGAGGGAGACCAGTAGATGGATGGATTCTGCTCGTCTCTCCTTAGACGCCACATTACTGAGAATATCCACAAATATCAGAGAGAAACATGTGTTTCCCATCAGGTGACGGTGGACTTACAAGCTGATTTCCAGGCAGTAATGCGAGAGCTGCCTCTGATGACATCTCTGACACCAAGTGTTCATTGTTGTAGTGTTGTTTCACATTCTCTGTAGATGAGGTTTCTTTTCTTCTCTCAGCTTTCTTTTCATATGTCTCTTCAGTCATGGCGGCTGAGTTCCTCTTTTATTCATTCCTCAAACTCACTGATGCAAGGAGCATATGGATAACTTCATTAGGGATGAGTTTTGATTGAAGGTTCCATTTTAGATCTAGTTCCTGGTCAAGAAAACACCCACATTCATTAAGCTCAGACACCGATGAATCTCTTATTAAAACTTGTATCTCTCCTCACTCTTTTTTTTTAAACTAAGAGAAATGGGAAAACATGAAGACAGCAGCTTGTCATTTTTATGTTGGACATTAATTAGACTGCCACTTAAAATTATGGTGTTTCTACCTTCTCTGCCTCTGTGTGAGTTTTTTTTTTTTTTTAGCCTTTAGCTAATTGCAATTGTTGAAATGTATACCTTATTATAATAAGATTCACTTAGAAGACTCGACATGTTTTGGATTTGATGAAATGCTGTCGAACCCAGTTCTTATTTCCTGTGTTTTTGAGGATCTTCCTGGTAAAAACTTTCCAAACACCAGCCATTTAAGACTCCAAATGTAAAAGCCGTCGTGACCCGAGAGATTCAATCTTTGTTACGCAAGATTTATCAGCAATGGAGCGACAAGGCACATTTATTTATTTGAAAGTATCACTGATGATTAGATTAAAAAAGACGTTGCCTTTGTCTTCAGTGGAATCTTATACTCAATATGATAAGGCTATATTGGTGCAATCATCAGCCCGCCCCTGTATGCAAGGAGTAATCCGGGGCATTAAATGAGTTGTGAATACAGCTTTCTGAATGCATAATGTATGTGCCAGTGCATGGTGAGGGTCACACACAAGGCTACTGTGTGGGCTGTTGTGTGGCCCTGTGAAGAGTGCCTGTCACCAGTGACTGAACGTATTCTTCCTCCATTTCTATGGTGCTAAGATGTTCCTTTCTTCCCCTCCTACCATAGTTCCTGTTTCATACAGGGCGGGGGGTTAAGAGAAGGTTAGCTGTGCAGCCATCTACTGTCAGCTGATTATTGAACCATTCCTCCACTTTGCCACTCATGGCGCACAGCAGAGAGGTTTTGACCAAATTCTGGTTGAATTCGGCTCAGTGGGTTTTTCTTTTTTTGTAGACTTGAAAAACGTGTTCTTTTACAAGCCGCGGTTGGAGTTTGGATCTTGTGACTACGTCACTTCATTCACATTGCTGCTACTCAGGCCTGTAATCTAGACTTGGTAATCTTTATAGCCTTTATAGCACCTAAAGTTACTGAAGTCGAATGTTCGATCAGCATGTCATGGTCAGTGACCCTTGATGCTTCGAACCGAGGCTCCTGATGTCTTTGACAATGAGACAGTGAATGCTGGAAAAACTAAAAAACCCACAACTGTTTTAACTCATCTCTAAGTCCAGACTTTCTGCTGTTTTGAGTCAACATCATTCTGATCCATTTTAGAACTGAGTCTTTTGTTCTGGCGTGTTTTCTGTTACTTGGCAAAGCTTGATTTGACTTTATATTGTAATTCTTCTTTAAGTAATTCCATGTGGATTCAAACCCTCTCCTCATTAGCAAAGATGAATTAGCCTTTGGCATTCAAAGAGCAATTTCCTTCTTAAGAACTGTATCATTCTGCAATACAATAAGTTGTAATACTTAATGATGTTGAGTCAAGAATTTTTGTTTTAGTTTGCCAAGTCTACACAGTAGTAATTGCACCTATCAGAGACAGCAAAACGTTCAGCTCTGTTCAAGTAATGCGTCTGTCACAAGGTGCAAGATGAAAAAACCAACATGGAGGCATGATGTGGACATGGGCTCCAGCTGTTGATAATCCAGATATGTGCCTGCCTGTGTTGCGCATAGCAGGACACAAGGAGTTAGGCATGTGGGCCAGTTCTTGAAAAGGCCTCTGTCAATTTAAGCTTTCTAACTGAAACAGTTTTCTTATTACAGGTTATAGACAATTTTGACCCCCACTCTAAAAGTCTTGTGGCATTCACAGATAATCAATACCTGGTGTTATCTTGTTGTTTAGCTGCGCATTTGTTTGCTAGAGCCACAGCTCTCCATCGTGCTCGTTTCAGCTGTGCGTCAACATGTTAGAAGTTTGGGGATCACCTCAGCCCACAGTGTTGGCTTTGTTGATCTAGAGGCTGCTGTCCCCAGCCACGACTGCGAGTCACAGATCCTCCCCTGAATCATCCCGGCCCGGAGTAAACACGGCCCTATAAATAGAGCTCAGGGAGAGGCAAGCCAGCAGCAGAATGACAGGCATCCGTACTACACACCACAGACTCTCTGCATAGGCCAAGTGCGCTATCCCGCACAAAACGCTCCCCAAACCCTACATCCCAATGTCAGAGCCTGTGGTACAGTTCATACGGGGCCCCCAGTGTGATCCGTCCTATCTGTCATCTTTGTTTGGCAGAGCTGGCCATTAGATGTTTCCTCTCATTACCCAGTTTTAGGCTCCTGGGACCGCATCTGTTGGTATGCTGCTATTCACAGAGGGAGAAGGTCATGCTATCAAAGACGCACACTGGTGCTGTGCAGATACTTTGGATGCTTGTGTGTAAATACTCCCCGGGGTAACTGGGGAAACCACTGAGCAACATGCCATTCTGATTATTTACATTCATTTCTCCTCTTTAATTGATTGTTGTTTGCAGAAATGTTCTCTGCTTCTCCGGTGTGAGGATTTACTGCTTTTCTAATTTTTTTTTCTCTGTAAACTGAAGAAATAAGATTTTGGACTGTTGGTCAAACAAAGCAAGACACTCGACGACGTCATCCTGAATCTTCAGGAAACAGCAATAGACATTTTTCACTATTTTCTAATATCTTATAGACTAAATCAATAATCAACTAAAGGAAAAATAACCGGCAGATTAATCAAGAGTGAAAATAATCAGTAATTCCAGCCCTAAATTGTTAAGTGTATAAAATATAAAGTAAGTAAGTAGGATTCAGTTTTTATTGTTCCAAGATAGAAAAAGTTCTTCTCATTGGAGGACCCATCATGTACAGCTGTTTTGCATTGTCATTTGAAAAATGACTGAAAATTACTAATTAAATGTTGTCAGTTCAATTCCTCTTCATCATTTAATTAGTCTAATAAATGAACTAATCAGCTTATAGTTTCAGTAGAATATCTTTTTTTTTTTTTAATAGTATGACTGAATTCTTCTTGATATGTAGATGCTTTAACCAGAGGGTGAGACCAGAGCTCAAGAATGTAATCAACAGATTAACCAGCACTGAAAACGATCCTCAGTTGCAGCTCTGGATGAAGTTGTTTTAAACCAGTTTAATCCAGCCCCCGAGTACATGTGAAATAACATATGTCTTAGAATTAGTGGGCGTCAGAGCGCCAGCAGTCTAAGCACTTTACATTATCAGCTGCTGACACCACCGAGATTATTGAAAAAAGGACCAGAGTGCACCTAAGCCACTTACGTTAATTTCTCTTTTTATTCTGCTGTCAAACAATATCCACACCTCTGCATTTGCATCAGAGTGGAGCTCATGGGTACACAGGGCTGAGAGGCAACCGTAGATCAATTCATAGCAAGTCAGCTGACTCATTTATTTCTCCTCTTCCTCCACTCCAGCGTGATTTACCATGACAACTGAATCAGGCGCAGACTCGGAGGCCCAGCAGCCGCAGGAGAACAAAGAGTCGGAGAAGGGGAAAGCTAAAGCAGCATCCCAGCCCAGCCAGGCAGCAGCCGAACCAACTTTGCCTCAGAGCCAGCCGGAGCTGCTTCCCGCCGCCGCAGGACACAGCACCCCGGCCCGGAAAGAACAGGTCAGCATCTTCATCACCGCATCCACCCCTTCATTTCGGTCTGAACTGGGCGTACGGATATATCCAGACAGTTGTCATGGACATGTGGAATTTAATTATATATCATCCACCATATTACCCTGTTTAACATGCCTTCCAAAATTTTACTCTTTAGTATTTTTGATTTGAGGATGAATTTTCAGGGTGTAAACACTGGGGAAAAAACATAAAAACAAAAACAATACACACCATTCATCCCTCTCCTGAATGAATTGTATCATTGTGTGAAAAATGGAAATTAACATTAGAGGGGGGGGGTTCTGACCACATGGCCTCAGTGTCTTCAGTGGCGGTCATGACCCCGCAACAAATGCATCTGTTGACAAATAGACTAGTCCTTATCAGTGCTCTGTGCTTTTTATTTTGGAAATGGGGTGAAAAACACAGATTGAGACAAAGTGTGGATGTTTTCATTGCCGGCGTTACGTCAGCTGATTACACTGATTAGCACGACTTCACACAGCTGTGGGAACGAAGGGTAAACCGAGCTACTGAGGTTGGTTGAAAGGAAAAACCTCACGGCTTTTAGTGGTTTGAAGGTCTGAGATCTCTGGATTAGGGCAGTAAAATAAACAGAAATAAGAAAATGTCAGTAAAGTTTGATTGTTGTGGGAATGCTTGTTTTTTAGAGCATCTGTCATTTCCAAATTGACTCACCGTGTTTGGAAAACAAGGTTGCAAATGTCTTGTTTTTCTTGTAAGATAGTTGATCTTCAAATTCCCATCATTTTGGCACATAAACAACTGCAATGATGTGATGATTATTTGCTGTTTAAATTAAATGTACAAAAAAACATGATCCACCAGCTGCTTTGTGGATTAAATAGATATTTTTATATTCTGGTGTAGAACAGTGGAAAACCCAGTTGGGTGTTTTTTTTTCCAAACCTGTGTTTTCCTCTTCATAATAAATAAGTGTAGCCTGTGGCTTGTCCATGTTATATAGACTCAGCCAGCCCAGGTAGCCTCTGATCTTATCTGAACACTAAGTGCTTGTCTGCAGATTTTGGCCCAAACAACCTCCTGGGCTCCCTAGCTAGTCGATTTGGTAGATTGAATTTCCGATGCTGCTGCAGTCTCAGGGAGATTCTTGCCTCTTCCCTTATTTACCTACTTGAAAGGAAAAGATTTTGCCATGCTCTACATGCATACAGATTCGGTCCTATGTATGGGCAGCCTAGGCAATCACAAATTTGTTTCTGATGGAGCTCAGGGCACTACTTCAACCTAAACAAATCAGTTTCTATTGAAGTCTGTATTACCCGCAGCACTCCAGACTGAAGTATCTTCCCGGTGTGTTGCTTTAAAGAACCCCTTGTGTAGTTGTAGGAAGTGTTTACTCATTCCACAAGGTTTGAAAGTTAAAAACCAAAGTTTCTCTTTCGATGGGTTCAACGTAGAGTGCAGAAAACATTTTGAAAATCCAAATAAGAAAAGGTTGTAAAAGCTTTGACCTGATGTTCGGTGTGTGTAGGTTCTCAGACCGCATTAGAGTAGGGATTAGCTCTGAGCTGTCCTGTCTTATTATTTTTTGTTTTTACATGATCGCAGGCATGTAGCTGATGGTTTTATCTGACTGCAACACTGGATTAACTCTAAACTTGTAAATGTCTGTCATTTTGCAAGAAACCAATATTAAGAGGTCAAAAGGTCAAAAGTCACAACATCTAGATGTGCAAGTGTTGAAAAAAGCAGAGTTAGTTCTGAGATGTTTCACCTTCGGCTGATCTGCCTCGTGTTGCAGTTTGAGCACGCTCAGACTCACAGCTCCGCTGACCCAGAAGTGAGGCTTATATCATGATGTGGAAAAATTAAGTGTTGAAATGTGCCGTTTGATGAAGAGAAGAAATAGAGCATGAGGTTAGATGTGAATCATAATGGGCTGTAATGAGAGCGCAGAAGAGGCAGGGCGAGGTGATGGGATAGATTCATTATGGTCCCGGACAGGGCGATGTTGCCAAAAATCCAAACATTTAATGTTTTAATGTTAAAGCTACACTTGACCAGGGCCGGGCCTGATGATGATGATGATGATGATGATGATGATGAATATACTTGAGCTGATAGAAATTTGCGAATGTCCAAGGTTTTGCCATCATTTGTGTACATAAAGGTGACTATCTGATTAATAGTTCTGGCTTTATCAGACCACCACTTCCTTATGACAGTTTTAGATTTAAGGACATTTTTCACTGCAGGAGCCAAAAACACAGACGTTCCTGTCTCCAGAAATGTATCTATCTTTTCAATTTAGCTTCAACAAAATGTTCTTTATCAAGATATATGTCAACGTTGCAACATGAAATTACTAATATCATTTATCTATATTGCTCATACGCTTGACTGTAGAAGAGCAGCCAAAGAGCTCAAGTTTCTCCATTTGTTATGTAGTGTTCATTAAAAAAAACAAGACTATGCTAGCGGCTCTGTGAGGCTTCACTGTACTACACACAGCAGTACCTTGAGCTAAATGCTAATGTCAGTAAGCTAAGATATGGATGTCACACAGGTATTATGTTCATCACCTTAGTTGAGCATGTTAGCATGCTAACATTTGTAATTAGCACTAAATACAAAGTGCATCTGTGGCTGATGGGAATGTCACTATTGTTGGACAAATAGAAAATGTAACTAGATGATGGTGTAAGTTGGTCAGGGGGTCAAAGTTATTACAGTTCATTTATCATGACTGCACAGCCGTCATGTCACAGTGAGGGTGATGGATGATGCTCTGCCATTGTCGGAGCTGTGTGAATTAGCAGAAACATGGCTGAGAGGAATCACAACACTCTGACATAACGCTGTCAGTCTGCTGTGAGGGAGCACATGAAGTGGCCTGTGTTTACAGTTTCTCTGCTCTGCTTTCATACGTCTGTGCTGCTCGTCTCTATCATTCATAAATGAAATCATAAAAACCATAAATTGATTCGTAAATGTTTGAAATACATCCTCTGGTATTTTAAATTATGCTGTAACTTTAAACTCTAATGCTCCCAAAAAGTGATCATAATTTCCTTGTATGGTTACATCTGATTGGGTCCACAGTGAGAACTGGTCCATGTGAGCTACAGTAGATGCTGTAGGGACAATGTGATGGGTATAGCCTGAAGAACAAGATAAGAAATATTCAATCTAGAAATGAAAAGGGGCATTAAACCCACTTTGTAAGTGAGTGAGAAGGCAAAATGTCTCGGAGCCAGAGGCTTCTTTTTCTGCATAAAGTCAGTCAGGAAGGCTTTGTTTTCAGCCAAGTGGAAAATTGGATTTTCTCTGTTTAAGACAAAATGGCGGTACACCTCTAGGTCTTCTCAGTGGGACTTGATTACATTCACTCAGGGTCCCAGTCTTTATTTTTAGGTTTCAGACATGTGACAGAACTGGTGGTTTTGTCAAAGACAGCTACATTAATTTAGGGCAGTCTGGGGCAGTTAGGTAAGGAAATGTGTGCGCAAAAGGCATTTTTCATTTCTAGTCTGTGAACACGTTCAGAATAAAATCATTAAATTCTTGATCATGCCTTAATTCATCCAGTAAAATAAACACAGAGACGTCTCACTGATCAGTTATTTCCGCACGTAGAAATGAATTTTTGCTGTGAAGTGACACTTGTGTTCTTCCTCTCAGGAGCAGCAGGAAGAGGACCAAGTCTCCCACAGGTCATCCACCAGTCGTCTGTCCAGGTCTCCTTTGAGAGGAGTGAAGAAGGTGAAGATCATGCAGTGTAAAGTCACCCTGCCGGACGGCTCCGACTACACACTCAATGTGGAGGTGAGATTTCATGTAGCGTTTTAACACACCACCCATTTTCACATAACGAAAGGTTCCAACAGCTTTTTTTACTACTCAGTCATTTTACCTTGTGGTTTTATAGCACATTAATATGAAGGAGATGAAACCCACATGGTAACAGTTCAGAGCCAAAAGCATTAAGAAGAAAACAAAGTGTTGTGATTGTTCTGCTTTTTTTTGTTAAAGGTTAATTAGTGCTGTTTTATTATGACCTGATAGCTGAAATGAAACTGCCTCTGCTGCATCACCTGGCCTTTTGAATTGCCTTGCAGCAGTGCAGCAGCACTAATGATGTTTGCAGTATATCAGTTTGTAATGGCTGTAATTGAATCAAGTGTGAAATGTCTGATGTTTTTTAACCAGTTTTATGTAGAACAAGTTTTTTTAAGTTGATCCACCGATTATAAGTGAAGGCGTTTTCAGGGTTTGTCTTTTCTTTATGGCACCATATATTCCTTTTTTATTTGTAGATTTTACTTGTTTGTATTTAACAGAGACGGAACAGATGAACATTGTTACATGGGAAGGAGAAGTGCAACAGATGTAATTTCTATAGCGTGTCATTTGCAGTCCCTGTCCCTGGGTTAGGTTTTCAGTGTCAAGTAAAAGCAATTTTAAAGTTTGAAAGTAGTGCACCTTACTTCAGTTTTCACTTTTTTGGTTCTGTTGCGCCGTATCTTTCTTAATCTGAAGTCTGATATTGGCTGTTTTATTTAACAAGGCTGTGTGTATGCAGAGTAAAATAATAAGCACTTTTCTTTGCTTAAAAAAAGAGCAGCAGGGTTCATGGAAAAGTTATCTTCATTTCAATAAACAAATAATGCAACATGTGGCTTCATTCAAGCCTGTGTTCCAAAACATTAAAATTATGATCCACAGAGGACAGTAACTTCGATTTCTGTGTTGATATTTAAATACAAAAATGTGTCCCACAAAAACACTTTCTTATAAGGAGCTGAAAACCTTGAGAGTTTGTGTCTGGATTTCTCTGTGTATTAGTCTTGTGAGACGTGGCCTGCTATAATAAAATGGAATAAAAATGTCCTATTCTGGCAAGCCTTTTTTAGAAGTAGGGATTTCATGGATTTCACTGTGCATTTACATTTGCATTGTGTCAAATTGCTTTGGGGGGATTTGTTTTTTTCCTCCGAAGCTTCTTCTCTATGTAGTCTTGAGAGAAAGAAGTAATTCAAATAACGCTTCCTAAATGTTTAGTTCTTACTTCAAAGCTCACGCGCTAACACAGACATAAACCCCGAGAGGAAAGGAGAGCCAACCATCAGTGAAAAACATGTGTCTTTGTGTTGTAAAGCTTGTGAAGCTTGCAACCCCACCATTCCAGCAGTGTGGCTTTTAATCATCATGTGGAAAAATTAAATATGGAGGTGGGGTGTTTTAGTCAAGAGAACTAGAGCATGAGCTGGTTGTTAATCATAATGGGTTAGAATGAGAGAGCAGGGTGAGGTGTTGAATGGATTCATTATTTTCTGGGCTGGACAATGTAGCGAAAGTAAATTTAATTGACCTAGACTTAGTTGCATTACTACAGAATGGCAGCCAGGATAAAGCTCTGACAATCCGTATCATAAGTCTTGGAAGGTTTTGATGGATTTCATTCCACATTTACATTTGTATTGTGTCAAATTGCTGTGTAAGGTTATTTCTTTCCCAAAGCAACTCTTGACTTGAACAATTATTCTGATTATCCACAGCTCTTATGTTTCCAGTGTTCACAAATAACCCCGCTAATCAAAGCAGAGCCCACGATCAGTCTTTTTGTTGTAATTGTGAGTGTTGGTGCTCCACAGCATAATCGCTGCTTTCTTTCTTTAAACAGTCTTTCTTTCTTAGAACATTATAAATTCAGGAATAAATCTGACCAGTGAACCTATCTGACTTTTCACCCTTGCATATTTCCTTCCCAATAAAACAAAGTTGAGCCTTCTCTCAAAGTTATGAGACTTTCAACTTTGTACTTTTCCCAAAATGTGTGCGGGCTGAAGGAAAGAACCAGACCCTTCTCCGCAAATCTCCTTTGAGCAGATTCCTCCACACCAGGGGTTTGGATAGAGGGATTAGCCGAGTGTTTGGGTGGTGGCGGTGGTGAGGTGAAGGGTTCTGACCATGAAATGAGAGCATTTGTTGGAGGGAATCAGTGTCATTGACTCTGTGCATTGGCATGATTACTTGATGTCCCGCTGTGGCCGAAGAAGGATTCTTAAGGACAGTGATCTGGAAATGGGGGGGGGGGGGGGGGGCAAGGGTCAGTCTGGACCTTTGAGACTGACTCCGTGTGTTTTTTCTTTCAGTTTTTGATCTGTGAGACGTGCCCATGCTCTGAAAGAATTAACACAGAAGAAGATAAAGGTTTAAACAAAATAATGAGAATGTTCCTTTAATTCAAAGGCATCATCCGTCGTCTGAATATCAAATCAAAGCTTTGTCACTCCAAAATTAACTGACAGGTATTTCAAAGGGACACTTCACCACAGTTTAGTTCTGTATTGACATAAAGTTGCAAGATACAGATTTTGTCTGTCAAAATAAGTGCAGCAAAAGCAAAAACATCCATTGATTTTAGTCCACGATGTGGGTCAAGCTCCAAAGACACTGGATTCAAACATTTCTCATAATGCAATTTAGTGTCTTTCGAAACATCCTGGTAAAAAATGATTGTTGTTTAAATTCCACACAGACATTTTTTCAGACAGGTGTTTTGTTTTTATTTATTTTTGTTTTGTTTTGTATAAGAAGGGGAAAAAAAGAAAGAGATAACCCTTACAACACCAGGAGTTTCTAGTTTTCAGAGACTGAGTTGGTATCCCTTGATGTGGGATAACGCCAACTAAATATGAATTCAGTGTCCTCTCTGGCCTGTGTTATTATATACGACCAGATGAAAACACAAGAATACTTATTTTCCATCTCAGAGTTGGATTCTTCAGTCATCTCTGTGAATATGCTGTAACATGGTATGAACAGAAAATCAATACTTGGCCTTTTGATTGCCTGTAATCATTTCAGTTTCTGAGAGCACATATTTCTCAGAAAGTAAGTTAATTAATCATCCCGGGGATATGCAGTGTAAACTAGATTACATTATATACAATACAGTTGAGCTTTTACTGTATCCATAACCTTTCTAATTATTATTTAATCTATCAAATCCCACTTGGAAGTAAGATTATACCTCTCCTGGGGTTTATCCTTTATATAATGAGTCTGACTAATCTCTGGTAATGTGTGACTCGTACAAAAACACATTGAAGAAATGTAAACATCGCCATCTACAGTGTATATTTGTGTCTAATAGTTGAAGTATTGAATCACCATGTGCCATCTGTTCACTATCCTGTAATCTCCAGTCTCCGCCCCCCTGCTAGGGTGACCCGGGTCTCACCCCAGTTCACTTTGTCCAGACACCTACACACATTAGATGAGGAATACTTATGCTAACCTGGGATTAGAGTGTGAGCCAAAGGTACTGGCAGAGAAACTGGAATGACTGAGTTATCTGTCCAGCAACACTAAAATGTCCACGAGAGTCAATGAAAAGCCATACATGTAGCTATACCTAAAATTAACAAGCAGAAATGACAGACAGTTGCTGTTTCCAGCTGTTTGTCTTTTGTTATTCAGGGCTGCCACTAACAATTATTTTCATTATTGATTCATCTATCAATTATTTTCTCAGTGAATCATTTGGTCAATTACATGTCCAACAACCGTCACATGTCCAACAACCGTCACATGTCCAACAAGCCATCTGAGCAACAACAGCCCAAACTCAAAGATATTTATTTTTTTCTCACAGAAGCCAAAGAAAACCTGACTTTATTCACATTCCTGAAGCTGGAACCTGTGACTTAATGATTATTTGATGATCAAAATAGTGACTATAGGCGCTTTTTTAAAGAGAAATAATGCAAAATCAAGCTAATTGATGCAGTGACACGATGCATGAGACACAATTCATATCCGGGTGATGCTGACAGTTGGATAATACCCCTAATCACAGTAACACTGTCTCCAGCTATATTATGCAATAGTTATGAAAGGGTTTCATTAAAACACATCCATCACAATAGAAAGCAAGAGACAACAAATAATGGCTGGTTAGTTGCCTGCTTCCCTAGAGGAGTTGTCATAGCAACCGGTAAGGTACAAATACTGCTTGCTTGAAACAAAAGAACAAAAAAATCCGTGTGAAAGTGTCCTAACAGTGAGGGTGAAACGCAGCAGACATAAGCTACGGTAGGTCAGCTCATGGTGTTTGACACAGTGATACAATTGAGGTCAAAGGATCCTCAGATAATTGCCAGAGAGTCCTCATCCCCCCCACCCCCCCCACCCCCCAATCCCATTTGAAACTGGTCCAGAATGTCAAGATTTGACATTTTTATCCTCCTGACCTTGTAGTTTTCCAGCTCAACGCAATTTTCTCCTCTGGGGAAAAATGTCTGCACTAATCGTTTCCTATCATTGTCAGTGGCACAGAGCCGCTGAACCTCCTTTACCTCACTTCAGAGGGTGTTATGTCTCAGTGGAGAGGGGGGGAGCCACACTTTTGAAAATCCTACTTCTAAACTACTTGACAGTGCATGGTAAATGTTGTCTTTTACAGTTGGGATAATCTGTTTATCATTTAAGTCATTTTTTCCAGCAAAAATGCCAAATATCTTCTGTTTGCAGTTTCTCCAATGAGAGAATTTGCTGCTTTTTTCTCTGTTTTATATGATTGTAAACTGAATTTCTTTGGGTTTTGGATTGTTGGTTGGACAATACATGACATGTGATGAACTTGAAAAGGACTCTCATTTTCTATTTCACTATTTTTAAAAATTTTATAGACCAAATAATGAATTGAGAAAATAGTCTGCAGGTTAATCAAAAATGAAAGTAATCAATAGTTAGTTGTAGACCAACTTTTAAAACATGGTTTGGTGATGCAAGCTCCGGGTTCCTTTGTAAAATCATTACGAAACTCTAATCTCTGTTTTCCTTCCAAGTTTCTCCTTAACAACCCCAGGGAGAGCAGAGTACACGCCAGATCAGTCAGCTGCATCTGTTGCAGTCCTAACATATTTGCTCTGGTTACCATAGCTATATCTGTTAGACAGATATGTGACTAAGCCCTGAACAGAGGCTTGCAGATCACAATCTGTCTTGTATGTGTGTGCAGGCTCCGTCAGTAAAGCCAGGGTTGAGTGTTGCATTGAGAAGACACTTGTCACAGCAAGGCAGCAATAGTCTGACATGACTCTGCTAATTCCCTCTGAGATCTTCTGATAGGATTAACTCTCTGCCACTAGCAGCTTTATAGCTGTTAAAATCACGCACGTACACTAAACGTATCTCATAAACAGGATGTGTGTACGCTTCATTTGCGTGTGTGTGTGGATGCTCGTACAAATGTACCATATCTGTGGAAAACTGTATTGCTGCTACTTCTGTTACACACCTTCGATATGTGTGCATTTATATCCATGTGGGCCCTTCACGTCATGGAGCATGTGGGCGATACTCCTGCCTGCATGTGAAGCTGACAGATGCACAGGCGTGTTATGACTCCTGCTGCTATAATGTGGCAGTGGCTTTTCAGCGTATATCCAGATACGAGGAGCTGGCTTTGGCTCTGCTGAGGCGGGAGGCGTCTGTGTTGTGGCAACTCGGGCCTTGAAATATCCCCTGTGAGCTGGCCAAATGAGTGGGGGGTGGGGCGGTGGGGATGACGGAGCTCCAGATGATGACATCCGGCACTCAAGGAAGTGCAATCGATCCGTGTTAAGCCTTCACATAGTTGATGTTCACCTTGAGCTCCGGTATTTGAAGGCGTATCTATAAAGCTTTAGAGGGAATTGATTCGGAGTGGCCCCAGTTGGTCGAATGCAGCTCCAATATCTCGAGGGTTAGTCCGTGCAGGAAAGGCTCCGTCATGCGGTAGTGTGATGTGCTGTGTCATCATGCTGTTATTGTAATTAAATAATGGTACATTGCTGCTCTGGAGAAAATGAGTTTGGAGTTCATTTTCATTTCATTGTCTCAAGATAAATGGGAATGTTTTGCATCAGCAAATTCAACAGCCTGATATTTCTGAACTCCACATTTCTTGTGTAATTTTCCTTTTTGTTATGTAAATGTTTTTTTTTTAATTGTTGAATATAGTTTGGATCCACAAATTATACTACTCTGAACATTTTTTATGCAAATATTTGAAGGTTTTAAGATTTTAAGATCTTGACATAAAATAAACAAAAGCAAAAAAGCAGTACACACAACACACTTTTCTCATGCAAGATAACATCCTGATTAAATCTTTGGTGTGTTAATCCTTTTTGAATTACACTTTCACTTTTCAAATGACTCTTCACTGCATTGAGCTCATGTTTTGTTTTGTTTTGTTTTGTTTTTTTCTTCTCACAGAAACGAGCCAAGGGACAGGTGCTCTTTGATAAAGTGTGTGATCACCTCAACCTGCTGGAGAGAGACTACTTCGGAATCACACACAGAGATGTAGAGAACCAGAAGGTAATCAAAAAAATAAATAAAAAAATCTACACTATAATCTGCAAATAATCATCTTAATTGTCATTCAAACTGGCATTGAAATGAGTAACACTGAAACTCTCCATAAGTCCTTATGTAAGAGCTTCTTTACAAGATGATTCTGCTGAACATGTCGAGCCTCTTCACAATGAGAATGATTAATTTCTTGGATTTTCTGTCCTCGGACAGTAAAGATGTCCTACTTTAGGAAGTGTGGTTGTTACAAATGCGTGACGATTCATTCTTTTCATCTGTGGTTGTCTGATGCAGAATTGGCTGGACCCCTCCAAGGAGCTGAAGAAGCAGATTAGGAGTAAGTCCCACATCTTAATGAAGCCAGTCAAGTATTTTTGTCCTGATTTTGAAGAGGAATGAGGTGTATTCAACTGAAAAATGCTGCTTTTAATAATTCAGTGTTCTTTCTGCGTCACAGCTGGTCCCTGGAACTTTGCATTCAACGTGAAGTTTTATCCCCCAGACCCCTCCCAGCTGACCGAGGATATCACAAGGTGAGTCCTTGTTATAGATCGGATGCCTCGAAATGCAGTTTTAAAAGGGAAAATGGTTGATTATGTAGATTAAAATGATATTAACGAGGCTTTCGCATTGGAAACACATTAGAAAAAATCCAGACAAAACGATTTTGACTGTTTTTTGTATTGTGTCTCCTCTCCCTCTCACAGGTACTACCTTTGCCTGCAGCTCAGAGATGACGTGGTTTCGGGTCGTCTGCCTTGCTCCTTTGCCACCCACACAGTGCTGGGCTCCTACACGGTGCAGTCTGAACTGGGAGACTACGACCCCGAGGAACTGGGCAGCGACTACATCAGCGAACTGCGCTTCGCACCCAACCAGACCAAAGAGCTAGAGGAGAAGGTCATGGAACTCCACAAGACCTACAAGTTAGTCTCTTTTTATACTGAGATTGAAATATAGTGCTCAACTTTTTATACAGACTTGGACGATTTTCTCAGTCAAGTGTTGCAGTTTTTAAAATGTGAAGTTTTATCTGTGTAGTTATAGTTTCTATGTTATAGATACAGCCCTTCTTTTAAAGCCTCGGAAAATCTGATTTCAATCACAGTATTTCTCATAAACATTAAAGAGTTAACAATCATGAGTAAACAAGCTAAAGCTTATCTACTTTGGCAGAAAATGTTGAGATCACATAAGACCCTGTTGTTCATAATATGAAGCTGATTGGCAAAATAGGTTTCCATCCTAACTTGAGTCAGTCAGGCTACCTGACTGATGTTAACATCCATTGGGTTTGTGTTGTCTATAAATGGATCTAGCTGTCTGTGCTTTTGTCTGAGCCCCACCCTTCACTCTGTATTACAGTGATTTGTGTGTAATTTGATGCGATCCTGTTTCACCCAGTGGGTGGAGCGAGGCAATGACATTGCCAGGATAAGGGTCTCTCTCTCTCTGAAGGCCAGCTATGCTAAAAATGGATGCACTCATGCTACTCTGTGGCTCCTCAGTTAAAAGCATCCATAAAAACAGCCGTTTTCCAAAAAGCTTTGATGCAATAAATCTGTGAATTATCTCTGTTTTAGATCTCTGAAGTCTTGCATATTCACATTGGTCTGAAAGCATCGAATCTGTCTTTGCTTTACTTGTGCTTATTGACCCTTCTTATGTCTGATCTGTCCTGTCCCTGTCGTATCAGGGGGATGACACCGGCTGAAGCAGAGATGCACTTCCTGGAAAACGCCAAGAAGCTGTCCATGTATGGTGTGGACCTCCACCACGCCAAGGTAACAAGTCACTACAAACCTCCTCGTATTGAATTTACAAATTTATTGTCTCTCGCAAGTCAAACAAAATAAAAAAAAAAAAAATTGGAGACAGATAACTGCAGATGTCAAGTTTTCTGTTAACTTTTTTGTTCATATCGTCTTTTAAAACTCAAACAGTTTTTAGCTATTTTCACAAACTAGAATGTCTGTCTCTAGCCTTTATGCTAAGCTAAACTAAGCTTACCAGCTGCTGTGTGTAACTTTGTATGAACCGCATAGAAACAACATGTCTGAACTGTTCCCTTTTTAAGTCGTTTCTATAAATGAATCATTTTGCTCATGTCTCCAGTAATTGTGGGTGTTTCCAAGAAGCATTAAGAAGTGATAAAGGGTTAGGGGTCAAATATAATGTTTGCAATCTAAACCTAACACCATGCCAATCATGCAGTCAATAGTGACGCTTGCCACCACAACACCGCTGCTTCAGAAACATCATGGCTGCCACAGAAACGCCTCAGTTTAACATGCCTGTGCTGCACCGCTGATTGACATTATATCACCGCTGCCTCTGTGGACTTGGGGCTGAAGGGGTGGAGGGATGATGAGAAAGGATGGGGAGGGAGTCTGGAGCCCAGCTCGACTTGAATGATGTATTTTTCTTTCTTTCTTTCTTTCTTTTTTTTTTTTTTTTCTCTCTTTCTAATCCACCTGGCCAGATGGGATCAAACACATCATTAGAGCACAGACAGCAAAGAAAGAGCGGGAGTACGACAGCAGGACGGCTGTCATCGTAAAACGAAAATTACAGTCATCAGTCTTGATATGAATCCAGTTATCAAAAGCGCTTTGAAAGTCAAAATGGGTCTAGATGTGAGTGATGGGGAGGATATTGCCTTTGCAGATTTAGATCAGAATAGAGGAGATGACAGAGATGAGGAAGCGGCCTTGATCAAACTGAGTAGACATCAATGCTCAGTGTTGGTTCTATGAGTCATAGTCTTGATACACAAGGAAAAATAAATAAATAAAAATCTGTACATATCAGACCAGCATCCCTCTTTTGTCTTCTCTCCTCTCTCATTAAATGCAAAGTTGGTAGGGAGACTCTATGAATGCTTGGCTCCAGCTGAGGGAGAGGTAAGAGGCTACATCACATGTGCTTACATGTGTTTGTGTGTGTGTACGCGCGTGTGTGTGCGGTTTGTAGTTGTGCATGGTTACATACAAGTTGTATAAGTTATTTAAGATTGGCTGTTCCTGCTTTGGACCAGCGCTTCCCTCTCAAAACGTCATCATCTTTGGTTTTCACCTGCTCATCTCGTGCTTTGTGCAGTGAAGAGCATCGTCTCGTGCTTCATCCACCATTTCCCGACACTTCACTGTCGCTTCTCACTCACTTTGTGCCCCATTCTGCGTCATTGTTCAACGTCAACACAGCCTGCGCACACAAGATTACAGTATGCCTGATTCCACTCTCCACCTGCCTGCTTTTTACCCCGTTATTACCACACACCTGACTCTGTTAACGTCTACTTTTCCCTGCTGTGCACTGGCTCCTGAATACCTCCCATAAAATTTAAGGAATAGGAGTTTTATGTTTTGCAGAGGAGGAGCTGCTTAGTGGCTTCTAGTTTGAGATCGTTAGGGATTCTGTGTTACTCCACCAAAGTGACACATGAAGGGATTTACTATAACTACTATGTTTTTTGTCATTTCTTGATGTCTTTGTGTGTGTGTGTGTGTGTGTGTGTGTGTGTGTGTGTGTGTGTGTGTGTGTGTGTGTGTGTGTGTGTGTGTGTGTGTGTGTGTGTGTGATGTTCCCAGGACTCTGAGGGCGTGGAGATCATGTTGGGAGTTTGTGCAAGTGGCCTCCTCATCTACAGAGACAGGTTGCGGATCAACAGGTTCGCATGGCCCAAAATCCTCAAGATCTCCTACAAGAGGAACAACTTCTATATCAAAATCCGGCCCGGCGAGGTGAGGAGCGCTTTAGTGATAAATATAGAAAAAGATAAATAATAACGTATTTAGACATATTTATAAGGATGCACAGAGCAGATCTGCTGGGTCAGTGTCGAGGCCAGTGAACACATTGTTTGATTGGTGTCTGCTGTAAAGCTCAGGTCCATTTCTTATCCTTTGTTCACTGCAACACACTGTGCTCTCACTACAGCAGCTGTCAAATTCCCTCTGTTTCAGCAACATTTTACAGGCACACCACAAACTGTAAAGTGCTGCTGCTGCTGTTGGTTGGAAGTTGTTACTAAAGTTCAGAACTTTGTGGCTATGGAGAGATGTTGTCTTACTCCTGTCTAAAATGTCCAAACCCGACGTATCTGTACTGATATCCCTCTCTTTACTGACATTATATAAAGGGAAAACTGTAATCTGATATCACTTTTTATATAATTCTGTAATTAAATTAATGTTAATACGAGTTATTTTGCTACAAATCTGTATATGAACGACTGGTAAAATGCTAGCAATTAACAACACAACATAGATTAATAGAGTAGCGATTAGAAATAAATGACTGAACAAGCTCAAGTTACCTATATAGTGAATCTGACCTCAGTGTTTTGTCTGTGTTGCAGTTTGAGCAGTTTGAAAGCACGATCGGTTTCAAGCTCCCAAATCATCGCGCTGCCAAAAGGCTGTGGAAGGTCTGCGTTGAACACCACACCTTCTTCAGGTGAGGACCTTAGCCTGTGACAGGAAACAGCTTTTCAAACAGCAGTAGGTTTTTAATTTGAAAAAAAAAGATGTATCTGACATGTCAACCTAAATCTGAAGTGTAGCAAAGAGAGAGCAGTTTGTCCTGCTGGACTCGCCAAACACAAGCTACTTTGAATAGAAGGGATCACGATCATGCCAGCCTTGTAAACATGAGTTAACTGATAATCACCTCAAATTATTTAATTGTAGTGAAACGGTGTTCAGACTGTTTACTAGATGTTGCCATTTGGACAACATGCAAAGTCGCTTTGTGCTGCTTCAAGCAAAAAGATGGTCTCCTAGGTTCTTCGGTGTAGCGAGCCAAGCCTGAGGGCTCTCCAGAGAATATTTAAATGAGTAGGCGTTCTAATTTTTTCACAGTACGAAGTTAAATCTGTGTTTTGTTTCTGGTGTGATTAATGTGAGTGTGTGTTACTTGTGACAGGCTGGTATCCCCTGAGGCGCCCCCGAAGAAGTTCCTGAGCCTCGGCTCCAAGTTTCGCTACAGCGGCAGAACGCAGGCTCAGACCCGCAGGGCCAGCTCCCAGATCATCAGACCTGCTCCGTTCTTCGAACGCTCCTCCAGCAAACGCTACAACATGTCCCGCAGCTTAGATGGAGGTGAGGGAGCAGCTTGGGGTTGTGATTAATGGCTGGCCACACGTGCCACCCAAGTTGAAATGCTGTCAACCCAGGTCTTTTGTTTATTTGTCCAGTTTGCTTTGAGCGACGATATTTTTAAAGCCCTGTTTTTGTCAACTGCACAATTTTCTTGTTATAGAAATGCTTGATTTTAAATTGGGCAAAACAGACAGGCAGTTTCACACAGAGGGTCTTTTCTGAACTAGTGGGAAAAAACGTCTCCTATTAAAAGACGCCATCGCTGCTTTCTGTGACAAGAAATTTCCTTTTGTAAAAGGTGCAAATGCAATTTTTGTCCCTATTCTGTTTCTTTCAAAAGGAAAAAACATGTTTTTGCTACCTGAAAGCTGGCAAAGCTAAAATGTCTGGCACACTTTTGCATAACAGCGACAAAGGCACAATGGATATTATTATAAGAACAATGTGCAGGAGCAAGACAAACCTTTTAATTTTGCTGTTCCCAGTTTTCCCAGACTCAAGTCCCTCACATCCGTCTTTGTCCTCTGCTGTTTCAGCTCCCATCATGGAGAACCACGAGACTCTGATGAAGGACAGCGCTGCGGACGGGGCAGCCAAAGTCATCGCCAAGGGAGACATTATCACCACGGTAACAACAGAGAAGAAAGCAGAGGAAGAGAAGGCGGAGGAGGAGGACGCTCAGATGGATGCTGCAGAGACACCGGAGCCCACTGCCACGACGCCAATCAGACAAGACACAAAGGTAAACCACTGTCCACAAACACCGTCAGAGGAGTCACACCTGCGTTTAATTTGGATAAAAGAAGCGTTCAGAGGCTTTGATGTTTTTTGTGTTTGGTTCAAAGAGAGGTAATATATATAAATATGCCACCGGATATTCAAAGACATGGATCGTGTTTCTTAGAAGCTGCTGCGTCTTTGTCTTTTTAGTCCGTTTTGGGATTTTAGTTTGTTTTCTTTCTTAATAAACTTTCTTTTCTTAATAACTTCTTAATGGCTGATGAGAATTTCCCAGTTGCTTTCAGCTTAACCCTCTGCATTAGACTAGGCCTAAGTGCTTTCATCTTGTGTGCGCTTTACTAATTAGCTTTTCTTTTCTTGTCCTTCCTTTGACCCCACACTATACTCGTGTGTGCTCATGCGTATTTGCCTCCCCCCCCTTCCCTTTCGCCTCCTCTCCATTTACACACACGCCATCCTTTTCGTTGACATTACCTTCCATCAGAACTCCCCTCGTGTATACACAACCGACCCCCTCCGCTCCGAGCTCTCACTCCCCTCATCTCCCGTGTCATCCACTAAAGTGCGGCGGAGGCGCAGGGAGAACGCGCGCAAACGAGCCTCGTCAGTCAGTCCAGCCAAGAGCAGCGCTGGGTGCCGCCGCCGGCAAGCCCGCGCCGACCGCAAAGCCGCCCTGCTGGAGGAGCAGGCGCTGCTGCTCTCAGCCCGCAAGCAGAGGCTGGAGCAGGGCAAGGGCCGCGGCGGCACGCTCTTCTCCTTCTCCCTGCACCTGCCTGACCTGTCCTCCATCCTGGATGATGATGGCTACATCACCTTCCCCGATCTGTCAGAGATGCACTTCCTCCCTGAGTGCGCGCAGAACTTTCTCCCCATTAAGTCACCCTCACTCATCCCCTGCTTCCTCTTCATCTTCTTCTTCCTGCTCTCCACCTCCTTCTCCGTCCCTTACGCCCTCACCCTTTCCTTCCCCCTGGCGCTGTGCCTCTGCTACCTGGAGCCCAAGGCAGCCTCCCTGACCGCCTCCATAGCCCAGGGCTACCATGACCATGACAGTTCAGAGGAAGAGGAGGTGTGTGTGCCTTTATGTTCCAGTACCCGCCTCTGGCTTAGAAATGGCAGTTCATTATGACGGTTAACCCCTTATCCTGTCCTGTATCTCGCTCTGCTGTTTCACCAGTTCAGAGCCGACCTGGAGACTGTGTCTGTCCCAGTGTCTGTCAGTTCTCCTACTTTCAGAACCTCATCTCTGCCCAGTCACACTCTCATCCTGTAGACTACATCCCCATCAACATCAACCGTACACAGAGATGAACCTGCAAGTTTCACCATTTCATATTTGATTGGCTTGTATGTACTTCACCTATATGAGAGGGTTAGACACAAATTGTGAGCATCATTGGGGTGTTTTTACTCATCGGCGTCAAATTTCACATCTTTTTGAAACATTTTACCACATCTGTGTGTCACTAACAAATTACCATGAAATATCGCTGCAGTGTTAAACAGTTCATCATGCAAATATTTAAATATTTGACAACCTGTTTATGAGAGATAATGAGGACTTGAAGAAGTCACCTGTCTTCATGTTACCCACTAATCCCTCACCAAACTTCATATTTAACAACATAGCTTTGTGCCTAACCCATCTCAGTGTTATCATCTACATTCATGTCTTTATAGTGTAGAAAATGACTGTTGACAGACACCAGCTGCATAGAAACACTTCCATCTTTATCTTAAGCACTCAGTCTCTCTGCGTCGCTATTTGACTCAAGCAAAGCAGCACAAATTAAAATGAATCATTTAAATGGAACCTGTGATGAAAAGGGCTCCTAGTGTTTCAGCGAAGTAGCTTACTGAAGAGTGTTTTTTTTTTTTTTTTTTTCCTGCCAGCAACACTCTTTGGACTCAGAAATCTGTATAAAGTAATGCACACTGTGACGCAGAGAGACTGTGACACTTAAATGCATCCAGATCACCTTCAGTGTCAACATGCATGGAGAGGAGGGGGGAGGGCCTGAAAGTCAGGTTACTGTTCGGCAACGAACTCGTCAAACCAAATTTTTATTACCATGTGTTTACACATTTTTACATAGTGACAACACAGCAAGTCATTTGTCTACCTGGACTGAATTTCATTGAATATATACCAGATATAAGCCTGTTTCAAATGGAAAGCAAATTTTAAAAACATTTTCCTCAAATGTCAAAGTGACTGACCGAAGGTTTCAACTTCCTCTGAGTCTGTTTTGCTTGCTTACTTTGCATTTGCTTTTATGTTTCTTTTGAGTTCTCCTTCTGCCAACCTTTTCTGTAGTGTTGTCCGATACTGTTAGAACGTGAAGCCCACAAAAAACAAACCAGTGCATTTCCATTCGTTCCATTTGTGGTGATGAAGAATATCTCTGTTGATGAGTGATGCATTTGCAAGGGTTTACAAGTTGGGTTCTTCTCATTTTCTTGCTTGCCGCTCGGAACGGTTTCGGTCTGTGTGTGAAAGCAGACTGACAGCGAACAAACTGACTTTGCCTTTGATGGAGAGATGACTGCCACAGAGGTTTGTACATCAGGGAAAGACGTCACGTTTAAGGCATGAAAGACGGTGCTGTCGGAGAGGAGACAGAAAGTGATGCTGGATCATAGGTGGAATGTGAAATGTTCAGAAGAATTTGTGCACTTGAAGATCTGCATGTTCTGTATGCATTGCATCTGTACACCCATTGAGTTCCTGTTTCTTTTTTCTCTTTTTTTTAACGTATCGTAAACACACTTAATGATCACGATATATTTCTGCCCTTTATTCCATATCAATGTCTTTTCCACTGACAACATTTCTGACTGTTTGCTAAGCCCCATCCCCCTTAGTTGTCGATGCTAAGCCTGTGAAGTTTTTTGTTCTTGAACAGCACTGTAATACAGTTATAACGTAATACAATTTATGATGACAATTGCAGATTCACCTTTCATAATTGGTAGAATTTGAAACAGTGGGTCTTTGATTTCATACTCTGGCAGACAAAATCAGGCTTCTCGTTTCTAGCCAGGAATTGAATATTTGCAGTCGCTAGCAAATTTTTTTTTCAGCTGTAGTTAGCCAGCTCATTAAGCTAGCAATAGCTTAAGGAGTTGAATGAACATGAACACTGACGCCAGCTGACTCTAAATTGACTTTATAACAAGTGAACTTGTGAAAGGCATCCTTTATCTTAAAAGGAAAAATTCTAGGAGCAGATACTTGGCTGCTTAGCTGATATTCTTGTTCATATTTTCAAACAGTTCAAACTGTTTAAAAGAGCAAAAGTAACTGGACGACAGTAAAAAAGCAGGACAGAGCTGATGACATTAGCCTAATCCCCGGCAGCATCCAGGACCGGCTTTTACACAGTCAGGACATACTTCACAGTTGACATGCTGGCTGTGAAAAGGGCTTTTTTTTTCTTTTCTTTTCTTTTCTTTTTTTTTTTTTTTACATAACCGGTAACCCATGGATGTGGTGCTGCATTGCGTACTCAAAGAAGGCAGCCATTTGCTTGAATGAAAATTGTTTGCCTGGCGCATAGGCCAAAAATGTTTTCCCTGCTGACCTCGCCCACACATTCCCGCTCAGTCCACAGACTTATGATGACGTAACATCAACAAGAAGCTAGTTAGCTTGACATGCTAATGTTTGCAGCTTATGTTTCACCGGACAAACACATGGTTGTACTTCCTTACAAAAGCCTCCACACTCCGTGCACACCGGGTCAACGTTTGGACAAATCCAAATCTTGCTGTCTCCAGTTTGTGGTTGGTAAGCTACAGCTGGACAAATGCTGCTCATGGGAGGGGTTAAGCAAACAGTCTGTTTCTCTCTCTAGTCTCTCTGCTTGCCATTCCTAGTCGCTCATTTTCTTCCCATTCACTTGATTGTCCCTCTGCGTCTCTTCTCTTTAATGGCTCCTTTCCTCCTTGTCTCACACTCTCTGTCCTCTCCCTCTTTACTTGCTGTCAGTCGGAAGCAGATGAGGACTCTGAGATGCGGACTCAGGTACACTGGGCTCGCTTCATGGCCCTGCTCAGTGCATCACACAGCCGCCGCCACCAGATGCACTGAGCTACTCAGACATCAGCCATCATTCACTTTGTGTCGTTCCCTCCGCCTTGGCTTGCCTGGTGCTGCTGCCGCTGTTGACACACTCACTATCACACCACACACCAGACTGACCATTCACTCTCGCCTGAATTCACTTCACAGACTGCTGCTGCAAAGCTGTCGCTGCTTCTAAACACACCATTCCAGCTCATTTCTCAAGTGCTTTTGTTTGTAAATGGTGGCGTCATGTTCAGATTTCACAGTTTTCAAGGTTTTTTTTCCCAGTGACTTTTTGCCGTCATGTCATTGACAGCCATGTCTAAGAAGTCAAAGCTCCCAGCACTCCTGACAAGAGTCTAAATTTAACATGCCATAGCAACCTTAACTCTAGTTCCTCTCCCCTCTTTTTCTCTTTACAGTATAGTTTCATAAGACGAGTAAAGGGGGAAACCGTTTTTATCAGGCATAGTAATCTGATGCTAGAGGTTGGTAAGAAAAAAAAATGCATGACTGAAATATGCATGCAGGTGCGTTTGTTATCAGGAGTAACGGGATTTATAGCATTTATCTCTAACCTGCTAGTAGCTCTGCCAGTGTAAGATACTGTTTTCTGGAGTTCCTGTGTGAATGGGAGTTATTATTATTATTATTATACTTTTGTCTAACAAAGTTTTTGCTGTGAGCATAAATTGGTTTTTGTGAGAAATAAAGCAACAGAAATTAAACTGAATTAAGTCAGTGTTTGTAGAGATCTTAACTTATAATGAGATTTGGGAGTGTTGTGCTTAATTAAACCTGCAAAACTAAATCTGCAAATAATGCATGATGCCTTTTTTTTTTTTTTTTTTGACTAAAAGCTGGTCCTAAATGCTCCCCTAGCATTTAAGTACAAGCTGCTTCTCTCTTAGTCGTCATGTGGGTGGACCTTTTGCTGTTGTTTTGCTGTTTTGTATGTACAGCCTGAGTGACAAACATTAAGAATTATGAAGTGCATAATGCAACTGATTTAGGTCTCTTTCAGTTTCCATTTTGGTTCCAGACCTTTTCAGAGCTGCATTTTATGCCACCCATCATTTTTTTTTTGGGGGGGGGGGGGGTAATTCATTGGATATGCAAGCTACCGTTGCGTACATAAAGCATGGCCGTCGTTCCCGCCGCGCTGCCCCTGCCCTCATCTCTCTGTATCATGGTTGACCGGCTACTGCAGGACACTGAGCCTCCAGCGGAGATGGTCAAGCACCAAACCAACATCAGCGAGCTGAAGCGCTTCTTCCTTGAGACCGGCGACAGCACGCCGGGCCTGACAGAGTGGGAGAAGAGGCTGTCCTCGTCCCCCGCGCGCTCAGCCAGAGCAGATGAAGCACCAATGATAGAGCCTCTGGAGCCGCAGGATGTAAGCTGCAGCCCACAGCTGACTGAATGGCGGCGTGTGTATGTGTGAAGCATGACATCACCCTGGAGATTTTTGTATAAACAAAGACATCAATCTGAGGAGTGATTGCTTAATGAGTCATAGCGCAGTAAATTCAATATTGATAATGGGACTGGAGTCATGTTTTTTTTTTTTTTTTTTTTATGAAATTGAGTCTGGTGTAGTACATTTATTAAAGGAGAATATGGTCACCTTGATAGAGGAAATTAGTTCGTAAAGTCATTCAAAGTTAGTGCATCAATAAAGTGGCACATTTAATCTATTGAGTGTGTTTGTCTTTGCCACCATCACTTTATGTCTTTACTATATCTCATCAGCAGCTGATTAACATATTAATTTGTCTCGGTAATGGATGGTGAAGTCATTAATCAGTAATATGATTGTTGTGCTGGGCGACATTACTTGCAGTTTTATCAGAGTTTCTCTTTCCATGTGTGTGGTGTAACACAATCTGATGAACTCGCGCAGGACCGAGCGACGCTAATTGAAGTCTCTGAAGACTAATCACTGACATCAGACGTGTCTGTCTGACTGACTGACATGAAAGGAAGCTCATTCTCTGGAGGAGCTTTGGGACCCAGATCTTGTCCATTTTGAACATGCAGTCGCCCTGGTCATGTCCTTTTTTTTTTTTTTTTTTGTGTCTGTCTCAATATGTGTGTGACATTTCAATTCTCATTTCTTTTGCAGACTGAAGATGAACAGCCTGTAGGAGGTGAGACAAAGGAGGAGGTGGAACCTAAAGCCACTGAGGTAAACATTGCTTCCAGTTGTGTTTTCTGTGACTGTGGTGTTGTTTGTTGCCCTTTGTATCTACCTAGCTCCAGACGTATGTGGACACAAGATCAGTGTTTGGTATTCTGGCTCTTATTACTTCACGTGTGCAATAAAAGAAGAAAAGAGTTTCTGCCATTTTTCTTTTCCGTATCCACCCATTTTATCATGGCTCTGATATTAAAATTAAAGCTCCTGTGTTATCTACTGTGATTGGGGAAAAAAAACATGCCAGAGCTGATTACAAAAGCTAATTCTAACCAATATGTGATTAATATCTGATCAATTCTTGATAGAAATTCAAACGTTACTCTTCACTTTCGCAGCTCTTTCAATAATTACACTGCCATATCTGTGCAGACAAACTAAGGTTTTAAACCAAGCTATTTCCAAATGGTGCATCTCTGTCCCTTGTGGAGCTCACCGTGTGTCATTTTTAGCTGAATTGTCTCTTGAGCTTATTCTTGGCGTGTGTTGGCTGTGTGATGCCCTCTATTTATTAACTTGAACGATCCATTTCCAATAAGCCAAGTGTCTCCCCAGGCGACAGGATATCTGGTGAAATACGTGGTGGATAGTATCGTAACAGATGGGGCCACCTCCACGGGGCCTCACGGGATTAGTCTGTCAACCACTATGGACGACGACGTCTTCATGGACGGCACCCTCAGGGAGGTGGTGGAGAAGACGCCCGACTCCCAGGAAGAAGTGTCGGAGAGGTCGATGTTGAAGGTCAGCCCCGGAGCCGTCAGAGACGAAGTGTCCCAGGCCATCAGTGACAAGAAAGGAACGCTCATTATCTTGAAGGAGGCGGAGGATAAAGTGGACACTGAGGGCAAAGAGACGAGTGTCTTGGGTGAAAAAGAGGAGCCTGTCCCTGGAGAGGCTGACACTGAGGAGAAGGATTTGCTGTCTGCTTCCAAAGAGAAAGAAACTATCAAAGAAGACGGTGCTGTTGTCATAGAAACCCAAACCACAGTGGTCAAGACACTGAGTCCGAAGATCGAGATAAAAACTGATGACATAAATCAGATTAAAGGTATTGACTCGCCCAAAAAGGCCATGGCGTCGTGGATTTCTGAGGAGGTGAAGACCGAGGGGTCAGAGGTCATCAGTGTGTCTGCAAAGGAAGTCCGAGAGATGAAGACCTGTGGCAGTCTGCAGCAGAAAGCCGAAATCTTCACCTTTGAAGAAGTCCAGAGCAAACAGTCAAAGTCCAGCGTGACTCAGATTACAGTTTCTGAATCTTCGACCTCATCCTTAGCAGTGGTACTGTATGAAAACTAAAAGCAACAACTTGGTATTGGCAGCCTCCCTCCATATCTCCACCACCACCTGCAGCCCACTCCCATTGCCCTCCTCCCCTGAGCAGCAGCCAAACCAGTGTAACCAGTGTAATCAAGCGCTGTGCATGGCTAACAGCCCCTTAACCCCCCAGTGTTTACTCTCACACTTGCCAAACTGCTGATTTGTGTTGCAGTCAAGCCTGCAGCTTCATTTTTTTTCTTCTTTTTTTTTTTTTTTTTTTGTGATACAACTGTATTGGATTTGTTTTTCAGTTTGTTGACAGCTAAAACGACTCACCTTGCCTTAGCAGCTGCCTCCCACAGCTGATAAGGTAGAAATGTTTTTTTTTTTAACCATTTTGCTCAGCTGCACCATTCCTTTCTTTCAGCTCTGTTATCAGTTCTCTGAGAGTGGTGACTTCATATCCCTGGCTCAGTGCCACCGCTGCAGCTTTCCCCACCTTCATCCTCCAAAAATCCTGCTTCTGCCTCGGTAACGAGTCAGGAGAAAGGAAAAAAAAAATGTATGGATCTACCTGATTTCACTGTTCCTTAAGGAAATGTTTTCAAAAGCAGATTAGGCTGAAATTTGCTGTTTCAGTGATTCTAAAATCCAATTAGAGGTTTTCAGATTGGGTTCAGCAGATTTAATGAGCTATATAATGGTGGTCCATACATTCCATACAATATTTACTTTTCAGACCTTTTCATTTTCCCACACTCTCTCCCTTCGCTCTTTGTCTGGTGTTCATTGTGACTTTTGACTTTCCTCTCTTGTCCTTTCTCTCTGTTCTTGTGTCCGTCCATCCTTCTGTCCCATCAGTCCACGCTGGGATGGGTCTCCTCCTCTCAAAAGGTGACCACTCCTCTCTGGTCCTTTTATTATCTTTTAAGTATTTGTGACTTTAAATGTGTAATTCTATCAGGTTGTTAAGTCACAAAATGCTAACCAACATATTTTTCTCCATCAGGTTTCATGCGAAACTGCCCTCTTCTATGTGGAGTTTTTTTTAAATTTTATTATCATGGTGATACAGAAATATAATTTAATGGTACAATTATCATTTACAGACATCGGCTGATCCAGAGGAGAAAGCGGTGGTTGCCACGGAGACGGAGGCAGCGCCAGCTGAGTCGACAGGGCCAACGGTGAATATCCAGACCGCAGAGGCTGCAAAGGCCGAGCCAATGCCAGTGCACACCACAGCGGAGCTCACAGTCAGAACCATGTCAGCAGAGCCTGCAGAGGGGGGGCTAGACTGTGTAGTAACATTACACAGGGATATTAGTGACAATGGCACAGGAGATCCACCAGCCGACTCTGTTAATTGTGAAAAATGTGTTATTCCTGGCTCGGCACCATCTTTAGAGCAAGTTCAGCAGTGTGCATCTGTGAAAGCAGAAATGCAGCCAGCGGAGGCAGCAGGTTTGGGGTTTGGTGAGAGTCTGTCTGGCGGTAGTGCTCTGCCAAAGTCTGCAGTGATCAATGTAGCGGCAGAAAAGGAAAATAAGGAAGTAATAGATGAGGAGGGAGAGACTGCAGGTGTTGAGGGGGAGGCACTGATGTCGAAAAATGAAAATGATGTTCTCAATCTCACTGTAAATCCTGCTTACATCAGAGGTTGTGTAAAGGAAGAGAAGCAGTCATCAGCAGAGGAGCAACATGACGAAGAGGGAGCAGCAGAGACTTGTTTGGAGGCAGTAGAAGATGAATTAACAGGTTCAAGGGAGGGACAGCAGACAGAAGTAGACGGCAAGAGAGTCCAGTTCTCCGAAGAGGTGCAGTATTTCGAGGAAGAGTTCCCCAGACAGTTTGAAGATGGTATCGAGGAGGTGGATGAAGAGGTGGATGAACGTTCATTGACAGAAGTTGAAGGACAACAGATGTTTCCAGACCTCTGGAAACCTTTGTCTTTTGAAAAAGAGAAATACCACCATGTACAGATGGACAGCTCAGAGGATGAAATGGAGAGAATGAAGGAGGAAGAGACAGATGTGAAGGGAGAAGCAGAAGAGTACGATGATGAAAAGATTCATTTGGAACAAGAAGAAAACAGTGAAAAGGCTTCAGAAGGGAGAGATGTTGTGGTATCAGAGGAAGAGGAAACACAGGAACAACACTTGAAGCCCAGCCCACAAGAAGCGACTCTAACTGAACCCCCTACCTCAGCCAACCCACTCACCAATTCACCTCCAGCCCTGTCTCAGTCGGAGGTAACCCCGCACCAGCTCCGGCGGCCTACGCCTCGGCCCTATAACCTCACCACCACTCTCCGCTCCTGCTGACACAATCTGCCGCTAATAATCAAGGGCAAAACTCCACCAAAAGCATGGACATGCCTCTCAAAGTGCTAACTTACCAGTTTGTCACTGAGCAGATCAGGGGACCTGTAATATGATGTGGTGCACACACTTGATCGAAACCTTGTGATTTGCATTTTCCAGTATCTTCTCCCTCACTGGATTAGGGACTCTAATGCATGACTGCATGCTCGTTGATAGATTTAAGCCCTTCATTGAGTGTCTTTGGTTTAGTTTATTAGCAAAATTGTGTTAATTTAATTCTGCGTGCGACATTGCAGTGCTGTTTTAAGAACAAAGACGCACAGTTAACGGTGAACACCTACAGCAATTTGTTTCAGACATGACATCTAATTTACTAAAGAGCACAGATGGTGTTGGTAGAGTTCCTTCCTTCTGTATTTATTTGTGCCCGTGTTTCTGTTTTGCCCTCTAGAGTCTTGAGGTCAGCGAGGCCGGTACCAAAGAGATGCCTGTGATCCACACAGAGACAAAAACTATCACCTATGAGGCTGCAGAGGTACATATAATCAAAATTTAACATCGCCTCCATTTTACATTTTGAACTAATTTTGAGGATGTTAGATTGGGACTCAGCAGTAGTGGCTTTCTGACCAGTGGGGGGCAGTGGAAATAAACACAACACTTCAAGCGGGAATAGTAATTACTTATTTACACACTCAGCTGATACAGAGCAACAGGAACATTTATTTTGAGTCCTTTGTGTCCACCTGATAAATGTAATTCTGATATTCACTCTCATTTCACTCTCTCTGTTTTGGTCTCCACCAACTCCTGAGGGAAATATCATGCTTTTTGTCTGCTGCTTGCTCCACTATGATCACCGGCTAATTTTGTCTGTCGGCTGATTGGTGATGGGGCTGGTAGTTTGGCGTTCAGAGCTCTTCAACTGAAAACAGTTGCCAGGGAGAGGGAATCATAACGGTGAAGTTGCGAGTCATAAAACCAAAGGAGAGAGTGGAAAGACGTTATAAAGCTCTGTGGGAGTGTGGTGACCTGCAGAGACGTGCTGTAGTGGTCTCTTCACCACATTACACACAAAACATAAAATTACAATAATAGCTGCAGTAATGAATGATTTTTGTATCAGTGGATCAAATAATGTTTTATTTTTACTGTGACTGTTTTCACTTGTAGTAAGACAGACAAATAACAACCAACTTTGCAATCCCCCTTAGCTCTACAGTGTGTTTTAGCCATTTTTAGCTCATTGTTTAGGAATTGAAAGCTTCAAATTCCACTATTAATCCTGTTTATTTATAGCAGCTGTAAACAGCCAGAACAGCCCTGATAAACCCGCTGTACACTATCTATCTACAGTAGCTGGTTAAGAAAGTCTAGCAGTTAAAGAGCCAGATATTTCCCCTCAGGAGAGATGAAAGGAGGTGAATATTGGACTTACATTTACCAGATGGACACAAACATAACTTTAAATAAATGCTAATGTTGCTCTTTGTCTGCTAGATTTGTATATAAGAAATGTATACAATAATATGTCAAATGTTTAGTTTTGCTTGTTGAGCAGCTCATCTGCCCCCCAGTGGCCAAACAGATAAATTCATGCAGCTTTAAGACGACTCTAACATTTGAAAAAGACCTGTTAAATCAACTATAGTGGGTATTTTGACTTAATCCAGAGCACAAACATGAAATGTCGTCTCAAAATGTGTTTTGCTTATCAACAGGTTGACACTAATGGTGACGCAGACCCCGGGGTGTTGCTGAGCGCCCAGACCATCACCTCGGAAACCACCAGCACCACGACAACCACACACATCACAAAGGTCAGTGTCCATCTATTGTCCCTTTGGCCTCTTAACACTTGAAGCGTCAAACGTGCCGACCATCTCTCTCTCTCTCTCTCTCTCTGCTGACTGCAGAGTGTGGAACAGAGCACCAAACATGAATTGTCAGTCTCAAAATGTGTTTGCTTATTCAACAGGTTACACTAATGGTGACGCAGACCCCGCGGGTGTTTGCTGAGCGCCCACGACCAACACCTCGGGAAACCACCAGCACCACGACAACCACACACA